AGGTCACAAGGATCTCAGGCAGACAACTCTTTCCTCAAAATACAACCAGTGCCTAAAAGGACCGAATTTTGAATGACTATAACTTGTATAGTATCTTCATCTGGTCAAGGAAGTCACAGAGTTTTAATGGGATTGATTCCAGTGCGCCAATGACCACTGGAATCACTTTGATATTCCCTTTCCTGCATTGCAAACAATCTTGCCATCTCAACTTTCAAACCAGATCAGTTTGTAATTTTCTCAACCTCCTTGTTTGCTATATTTGTGGAATTTGCTACGTCAACATCAATTAAGATATTAGTCCTTGGTGCTTTTATCTAAGCACAATAATATCCGGACAGTGATGGTGTATGAATCTGAATGTTTCAAAAATTATAGTCTCACAATATTGTGAGCGTTCCAACTTCATCAGTTCTTCTGCTCGTACCATTTTTTTTTCAATTTGAGATCTATACTTTTGACGGAATAATAATAATAATAATAATAATAATAGCTGGCCACTCGCATTCTAGGATACCCGTCTACTAGGGTGAGTAGCCAATCCCTATTGCAGACGCTCCCCAGGCACATTTATGTTTGCTCAACACCCATGGAGACCACCTGTGGATTATACTGCAACTATGCTGAGCAGACTTTAGTTTTGAGCAGTCCTTTTGATGCATAGACAAAAGTACATAAAGGAATACACTATTATTATTATAATTATTATTATTATTATTATTTCTCTTGAATTATTATTATTATTATTATTATTATTATTATTATTTCCCTTGAATTATTATTATTATTTCCCTTGAAATATTATTATTATTATTATTATTATTATTATTATTATTATTATTTCTCTTGAATTATCATTATTATATTATTATTATTATTATTTCTCTTGAATGATTATTATTATTATTATTATTATTATTATTATTATTATTTCCCTAGATTTTTTATTATCATCATCATCATTATTATTATTATTTCCTAAAATTATTATTATTATTATTATTATTATTATTTCAAAGCTTATCGTTCGTTACAAATATTGAAAAGGAAAAACAGATAAAAAGAACTTTTGCTCTAGAACTGAAATTTAATACTGAGACGTCTTTTTTTTCATTTCCTCTTAAAAGTCGAGTCCACTTGATGTTCAAACAGAAAAGTTTCAAGATCTCAAGGTTTATTCAAGAATAACGCAATAGAAGTTTGCTTAACCTTCTAGTTCTTCATGCGAGATGTGTCCATAGCAACAATGACACGCGCCCACATACGCACAGACGCATAAACGCGCCCACAGCTGCACACACATACATATCTATGTAGAGTTTTATTGCTAATGTATACACAATCCGTTAAAACACTGTGAACACTCTGATACATATTTTATTATCTATCGATAAATCATAAATTATTTCTGATATTTCCTATCTCTCTATCAGTGTGCACGGTCGGCGTTTAGGTTGGGGAGTTGTCCTAATGGACAATGGGACCGGTGAATAATTCTTTGTAATGCCCTGGGATAAGGCATGAATCCGCCTAACCGTGTGGTCAAGAATCACTCTTGCATTCTGATGTGCAGATACAACCTGTTACATTGTTCTTGGTGGAGAGATAGCACCCATCAATCAAATTCGCTGCTCTAAGAAAAATCCCATAAAGGTCCCAACATGGTAACCGGTAGATGAAATAAATTATGAGAGTATTTGATTTTCATTGAGCGTATGGAGTGGCGGATCTACTGGAGAGTAGGGGCCCTGAAGTTTAAACTTCAACTTCTTCTGGGTTTTTTTTAAGTGTCATAAGGTGATTTTAGTGATAGAAACATAAGCCAATGGGTTGAAGTCGTTAATGTTGGTCTTAGGAGATGTTATAATACGTATTTCGTATAACCTCAAAAATTTCCGAGTAATTTGCCAAATTTCAAAATTCTCTTGAGAGCAGGTAGCGCCCAATTTCCCAGTTGTATGGGCTCACATTTTGGCAGCTGGACCCTTGAATACTTTATTGCCTCTTGTGAACGGGCTCCCATATTTATTTCAAGCTTCAGGGCCTCAAAATGTAGCTCTGCTACTGCGTCTATGTCTATTGTATTATTTTATACGTCTGTGTGTGTGTGTGTGTGTGTGTGTGTGTGTGTGTGTGTGTGTGTGTGTGTGTGTGTGTGTGTGTGTGTGTGTGTGTGTGTGTGTGTTGCATGTGTGTGTGTGTGTGTGTGTGTGTGTGTTGCATGTGTGTGTGTGTGTGTGTTGCATGTGTGTGTGTGTGTGTTGCATGTGTGTGTGTGTGTGTGTGTTGCATGTGTGTGTGTGTGTGTGTGTGTTGCATGTGTGTGTGTGTGTGTGTGTTGCATGTGTGTGTGTGTGTGTGTGTGTTGCATGTGTGTGTGTGTGTGTGTGTGTGTGTGTGTGTGTGTGTTGCATGTGTGTGCGTATGGGAAGGCGCATCAGTTTCTTCGCTCATAAATATAATATTCATAATATGCATGAACGTACAGATATATATATATATATCTATCTATCTATCTATATATATATATATATATATATATATATATATATATATATATATATATATATATATATATATATATATATATAAAGAAATAGTCATGCATAGAATCTATACGTGATTATTTCTTTTGTATATAAATTATATGCTGCCTAATGTTATATATATATATATATATATATATATATATATATATATATATATATATAATATCTTAATATACATAAGAACGTTTAAGTACGGTTGAACGTGCACTTTAAAAATAAGTGCATGGAAAATGGGCTGATATACATCACTCAGTTATATATCTATCTATCTATCTATCTATCTGAGTTTATGCATGTATGTATATATGCATGTATGTATCTAGCTATCTGTCTATTTGAGTCTGGAAATCTATCTATCTATCTATCTAGGTCTTATAGCTATTTACAAATCCTATGTTAGGCGTGACACAAATACGAATGTATGGAGCGCCCAGTGAGGATCGAACTCACAATTCAGTCGTAAGGGGGCTCACGAGATAAGCATGCTAACCATTTCACAACGCCAAAGCGCCCCAGCACTGTCTTAAATCTATTTTAGAGTCTCTCTCTCTCTCTCTCTCTCTCTCTCTCTCTCTCTCTCTCCTCTCTCTCTCTCTCTATATATATATATATATATATATATATATATATATATATATATATATATATATATATATATCAGTCGTATATATGCATGTATATTTGTCTACATTCATCTTATTTTTTATTTATATCCATCGCAGCCCTAAATCAATGTATTGGCATGGTGCATAATTATCAGGCATTTTTTTAAACAATATTTATTATGGAAAAGGAACATAACATTTTTAAAAGAGTATGATTATCTACACACATTTTTATAACCTGAAAATAAAATAACATTTTTATTTAAAAAAAAGTAAAGAAAACAGCAATTTTTTTAACAAATAACTCCCCGACATAAACGCCTGATAATTATGCACCAACCCAATAATATATCTATATCTATCATAGTCTGTATATATCGATCTATTTATCTATATTTAATGTATTCACATCGTAACCTGTCTCTATCCATTTTAAGCTGTAGTCTATTCATATCTATTTTAATCTGTTTATATAATAGCATCTATCTATCTCAGTCATATATATATATATATATATATATATATAGAGAGAGAGAGAGAGATCAATGTATCTCAGTTTTCTGCCTATCAATATATCTATTACAGTATCTATCTATTTAAGTCCTATAAGTATTTATCTTTATCTATACTTGTCTCTCTTCTATCTATCTACACACACACACACACACACACACACATATATATATATATATATATATATATATATATATATATATATATATATATATATATATATATATGTTTCTGCATGTTAGTCTGTTCAAGTATGTATGTAGGTGTTAGTCTGTCCAAATATTATGTACGACAACACCACGCAACTGATTCTGAATACATTAACAAAACGAAATAGAAATTTATTTCCAAACTCTCGTTCCCCTGAAAGAATTCTCCAGTCGCTTGGTTGGGATGAGTTTATTCGTAAAGAAATGGCTATTTCTTTATTGTTAAAATCAAATAAATTTCCGAAATATTTTGTGCTTAACCTTACAACATTCTCACAGATTCCTGTATTTTCAAGTTCGAGAAAAGTCATAATGCCCGATCTGGGAAATTCTCGGACTATTTTTTTTTTTTTTTGTAGCAACTACCCTTGTAAGGCGTGGCCTGTTTTTGTGGGTACGTGTTTCCCTAAGTGTCAGAGGCGGGTAATTCTCGTAGAGAAAAATAACTTGGAAGATGAACGAAACCTATGATCCTATGACCTATGACTTATTTCTTTTTGGTTTAACTTTCGAGGTAATATTAGTAAAGAGAAGGAATAGCAAGTTTTCTCTGTGGGTTAAAGATATGTGTATTATTACGTGGTCGGAAGTGGGTGGTGTTCAAATGTGGGCAAAGCCAGTATTTTGAATGCTGATTTTCAAGGCACACACTTTCTATTTGAAACAATTGCGCAGTACACTTTCCTAAGTAATTCCTTCTTTACCATTAACAAATTATTATATTAATCAATGTCATTACAATTAGGCATTTTGGGGCGACTCGTTTTGAAGTAACTCCTCTCTCTCTCTCTCACCTTATCTTTTACCTTCTCTCTTTGATTTATAAACAACTACAAAAACATTCCATCTCGCCTCTCACTCTCTCTTTCTTTCTCACTCTCTCTCTCTTCATTCTCCCTCGCTCTATATTTTTAACTACATACGTTTATATCTATCTTTCTTTCTCTATCTCCCTTAATTGTTATATATGCATTTATTCTGTTGCTACCTTTTTCGAGGTAATCCTCTCACGCATTTCTCCCGGTCTCTCTGTATTTCCCTGTCTCTGTCTCTTGTGCTCTCTCTCTCTCAATCTCTCTCACTCATCTCTCTCTCTCTCTCTCTCTCTCTCACTCTCTCAACTT